CTGGGCCACCACCGCCAGGTAAGTTGGCTATTTCCGAAGCGTTCGAGTGTCAACAGCTGTTTGTGGGCGGTCTGAAGACGATTCGCCAAATAGATGGCATATACATACCTATAGAAATCTGACTGACTATATCTGCTGGCCGAAAATTTATTGATGCCGCTCGAAATGGGATTATGCGCGCGTGTAGGTGAACAAAATATCCACAAAAATATAAATATATGTTATATGTGTATATTTTCTAAAAAAAAAAAGTCCGTTTAGACAAAATAAAAAGAGGGCGTTGCTACAAATTATAATGTATGTCAGGGTTTGCTCTTGGCACTTGTTTCGCTTGCCTCGAATGCGAAAGTTCAAAAAGATTTGCGCACATGTCCAAGACGTTCATTCGGCGGTTGGTTTTTTGTTTTTATATATATATTTATTTTTTTCTATTATTTTCCGCTGTTGTTGTGTTGGCCAAAAATACTCAAAATGTGCACGGCACCAGTGGAGGAGATGCTGTCATAGACGCGCCTTTTATGAGCATTTTGCGATGATGCCATTCGCGACTGTGGGCCGTTGGGTTATCTCGGGTTATATGGTGGTCATAAATCCATCTAAGCCTAATTAATTGCTTGCCAGGGGTTGGCAATGGAACAAGGTGAAAACATTGCATTCGATATAATTTGCGGTTCCGGATAATCGCGGATAACACAATCTTTTGGCGTGTGGAATGACAATGCTGGCCAAATAGAGATAGTAATAGCAAAAATATAAACAACTTTATTCTGTGTTATTGTTCTAAAGATGAACAAAGTGAAATGTTGTAGCTTACATTTAAGTTAAAGATAAAAGTTGATATTTATAATAATTTCAGTTTAAAGTTAGATAATTCAAGTCATTACACTAACTACATATATGTAATAACTTTAATCTTAATCTGCTTACGGATAAGAGAACTTCGTTTAACAAGTAAAGTTTAAGATAAAAAAATGTCAGATAAACTTGGAATAAATATAAATAAAATATAATAATTGCAAGTTGTACAAACCGCAAAAAACACAGAAATGCTTTTCAGTTAAAATGTTTTTACAAATATAAGAACGCAAAAAACACTTGAAAATAAACAGATAATGTCAAGTTTGTTTCCTTGGTAAAACTGTCTTAATGACTCGACCTTTTGGATAAACGCGGAATAATGGCTAATGTGAATATTATTGTTTAAAAAATCTAAAATAACTTTGAATATTTTAGACAATAAAAACGCATTGATTTGACTTTGAGCATACAAAAGACCTCAAAAGAATACTATTAATTACTATAAATACAATCTAAATAAGAAAAACAGAACACAGATTTGTACTTCCCGGAAAATTAAAGCCAAGTAACGAAACCCATCCCACGAAATGCTTTCAGTGCGAATCACATTGCCTAAATGGAGGGTAATTGCCGCAAATTATGCGTTCGATTAGTCAGTGGATTCTTGTCCTACTTTTCAGATACTGCCAACAAAAAACTGTAGAATCCACCTCACCCACGCGGCTTGGTCTGGGGCAAAGCGACTTGATTGGCAACTGATTGTCAGTTGATTGACAAATTGGTTGAAGGTGTGTGTAGTTGCTAGCCTTAATGGCAGTGCTTCTCACCTTCTGGGGCCTGATACACTCATATAAGTATTTTGCTCTTTTATTTCCAATTCTCACTGCTGATAAGCCGGCAGTCGATTACTATACGGGGCGCTAACATACGGACAACAATTCAATCAAGTATCCATCACAAACACACGCCTAGAAAATCATGCCTAGATAAGCAAATGGTTGGATAACAAAAGCCAACAGATAATGCGAATCACAAATACATAGGGCCGGTCCCACCGGACTTGTCTGGGTATTCGTATTATTTGCTATATAGTCGAAAAAAAAAAAAGTTTATCGCACGCAAACAAAAACGACCTTCAGTAATGATGCCTTCGTATTTACCTAGCCACATTTATGTCTCGTCGATCTCTTATTGCCATTTTGGCATTTATGTATATTTTGTATATTTTTAAAAGCACTTCCGCTCTGCTTTTCCTGGTGGTAATATGTAAGTACTAATTCATTATTAAGTCATTTCTCGATTGTTTACATATTATCAGACCGAACGAAGAATTTAAAACGAAAAGAACTCAAAGCTCTTTGTTTTCACATTTTCTCACAGATTACTGAGGAACGAAATAACGTATACTTAATGCCCTGCGAATTCTGTTAACTTCTGCTACTACTGATGAGAGAAAAATAAATAAATTAAGAGGCCTTTATTAATATTATGATAAATAGTTTATCATTTATAGAAAAAGTTTGACCCAGTTTGTATATGAAGTATTGAGAAAACAACTTAAAATAAGGAAAAGATAAAGATAGTGGTTTGTATTGCATACTTTTAGACACCTTCATAGGCGTTTTCAAAACTGCTGTACAACAAGGGTTGAATACGGTTGAATTCTTTACAAATATTTGGCCTGTATTTAAATTCATAATTATAATAAAATTTGAATATTTGAAACTTACTAACGAAAATGTCTAGATAAAGTTGTAAAAGTCTTTAGATTCTACCTGAACCTTTATTAGGGAACCAAATCGAACAAAGGAATCCTGCAGTTGCTGCAGTTGAAATAAAATATTTGCATTTTAAGAACACACAACAATGGCCTGTGTACCATTTTCGAATGACAACAAAAATATTTATTTTACGTGTAAACACAGATCTTGTTTTTCGCGGTTTATTAATTTGCTTGTCGTGGCCGTTGTTGTTTTTATTGTTGGCATTTGTTATTGCTACAAACGTATCAAAATGTTACATCTTTGTGCGGTTTTTATTTCCGCCTTCAATGCAATTGAGTGCATAAACTTAATTATTGTCAAAAGTGTCACAACAACAAGGCAAGTGGATGATCGAGTGGAATACACATAAGAGAACGAAATGCAGGGAAATGAAAAATTATTAAGAGGCACAAATGTGCAATTGTTATCACTTTCAATGCGAAATCAATTTAAATGGTGTCTGAAAGTATGCAATAAAAGAGAGTTTACTGCATACTTTTGGACATATTGATCTAAATTAATCGCCCATAAAATAGATCATTAAAGTTCAAGGACGTTGCGTTAACGAGAAATAGAGAATGTATGTCGATCCACACCTTTAACATAAATCTTTAAAAAATACATAAACTAAGCAAGTGGAGTTTCTCTTTTATTTACCACTTGGACAAATTAGCCAAACGGGGGACGCGAGGTCGAATGGCTCTCTTTAATTTTTGGAGCTCAAGGCTTTTAATAAACTAGCGGTAAATCGCATCAAAAGGTAGTATGAACTTTTCCAGCTCATAGGCACACACGCATACAAACACACATGCAATCATGTAGAAATTGGCAAACGAAACGAATCCAACTAACGGACAAAAAAGCTTAGGTCATTGACCAAAAAAAGAAATAGCATTGTGAAGAGTGAGCAAACTATTTCTCTTTCGCTCTTAAAAGCGCTCTTTTCGGCGAGCACGTTTTTCCAGAAAAAAAGCCACCGACGCCACTTTGCCTTCATGTGTGTGTGTCAAAGTTATACAAACACACAAACGATTCTGTTGGGGCAGCTTTAGTTGTTTCTTTTCCTTTCCACACTATTTTTTTGGGAGCCCAACAACCACAATTTCAAAAGCAACAAAAACCATTTTCTTATACGGCCCCATGGTGTTGTTGGTGTTGTTGTTGCTCTCCTATGGGCCCCAAGCTTACGTCATTCATAAAAATAAAAACGCAGCTCAAAGAGCGACGACAAAGAGAGGGAGAAGTGGAACAATAATAACAAGAACAAAGCAAGAAGAGAGAGAGAGAGATCAATTCATGTAGCTTATTTAAGTTGTGAATGCAATTACCTGAGGAATAATTTAACCATTCTGTGCATTGTTTATTTCCTTTGCTCTCGCTGGGTTCTCGTTCTCTTCACGCTTTTTCCCGATGTTTTGTTTAATCAATTTTTACGGCAGTCCCATTGTTTTTGCCCCTCCTCCGTTCCGTTCACTCAACACGTTTCACTTTTACAGTAACAAAAACACGGCACTCACTGCTGGTGCGTTGTTTTATTGTTTATTGTTGCAATTAATATTACTTGTCACATCTTAAATCAATTTGGTTTGTTTTGCTCAGTTTTGCCAGATGAAAATGTGGCTTCCCCCCTGCAAAATCTCAAATGCAAGGAAAAGGAAATAGGTATTTTCGCTTTGGCGGCTTCTGGGCACACTAAAAATAGCTGATCTAGCTAAGAAAATTTTGGTTTTTAGAGAGGTGGGAAACATGACTAAAAATATATTTGTGTCCAAATATGGTTTCAGTCTGCGATGAGGATAGGCAAGTTCTGGTATCGGTGGCGCTCGCCAGGTGTCGTGTTTAATCTTATCAAAAATAATTTTTTATTAATATGAATAATTTTTTAGAAAAATTGAAGAGCATATCAAAACCATACCCTATTTAATCATTTGCGGGATTTACCTATTTGTGTTAAAATCAGCTGATGTATTTTTGTCGCTTGGGAAACTAAAAGATAATAGGGTTTCGTTGTTCTTTTTATATTTAATTTTATTTATTTAATTTCAATTTAATTTTTTTCACAAATATAAAATTTTTTGTCCATACAATTGGCGTCATCCATGTCGTGCCCGTAGCCACCACGCAGTTAAGCTAAGCTGGGCTGGAACGCACTGATAATGCGTGGGCTATGGGGACCTTTTGACTCTGCTTAGTGGAATTTGGAAAACGGGCTGTTCCCATTGATGACGACAGAGTAGTAAATATGTTTTGGTTGTTTTTTCAGCTCTTAGTTGTTATCACTAAATTTGATTACCATTAAATAGCAGGTTGTGGGTTTTGATACTTATATTGTTCAGCTTGATTTTCTTAAGGAAATCTTAGTTTTTTAATAAATTATTTAAAAGTATATGCTATATCCCGTAATATCAAATTTCTGAATTTTCACACGACTCTAGCTTGAACATCGATATAATTTATTTTTAATGATTTTTGGTTTCAAAAAAGTTCTGTAATCCACTTCCACAACCTCTTAAAGAAAGGTACTTCAGGATTTTTTTCACAAATATAAAAGTTTTTGTCCATACAATTGGCGTCATACATGTCGTGTCCGTAGCCACCACGCAGTTGCACACAATCTTCGTCTCTAGTGCTTGAACTGGGTGCTCCCCAGCCCCAATCAATATAAGGAGCTGGAAGGCCAGAAGTCTGGGAAAGAAATGTCCCTTCACTGACATGATCACTGATGTCAATCCAGTAACTGCAGCAATTTTCGATGCCATCAGCGTACTTTAAACGTAGGAATTCGGCTTCGTTTTGGGGACTCGCCAAATGGGCGTCGAGTTGTTTACAGTAATTCACAGCCTCCGGCCAGGTTTTCATTTTTTCTTTATCATTTTCATAAAAATAAGACTTCGAGAGGCCGATATTCTTAAACGTCTTTTCTTCTGTTTCAGGAGGTGCGTCCTGTAGGAGCATCTTGCTCACAATGTTAACTCTTTCCGAGTAAAATCGATCTTCCAATCTGTCAAATCTTCGTTTAATGTCATCCAAATCTGAATTGCCCTGTGACAAGAACGGAATTAATTACAGATCTGTTTAATCATTAATCAAGTAAACTTACCCCTGCGAGAGTATTTTGGCAGAGTGTCCCCAGAACCAGGACAGCAATAATGAAATTCATTTTGTGCGGGAAGCAGACCTTAAGTTTGCTCTTGATAAAGACGACTGCGAATCTCTGATTTGGTGTAGCAGCTTTTATAGGAAGAGCCGCTAAGCTGGGCTGGAACGCACTGATAATGCGTAAGTGTGGGGACCTTTTGACTCTGCTATGCCCATGAATTCCGAGAAAGAAGGGGAATTTGAATTTGTTTAGTCCTTCATTGTTATCACCAAATTTGATTACACCAAATAGGAGGTTGTGGGTTTTGATAGTAATATAGTTGAGCTTGATTTTCTTATGAAAAATCTTGGTTTTTTAATAAATAATTCGGAAAATATGTTGAAAAATATGCTACAATATTTCAGTACCACTTCAACCTCCGGAGAGACAAGTCGTATTACAACAGCATCGATCCAGCGTTTGCAAAAAACCCATAGAGCTTATCAGCAAATTTGTGAAAAACAAATATTAAGACCAAAACAAAATAAAAAAAGACAACAACAAAAAACACACCATTTCATACCAATCGGGCGCAAGCCCTTTACAAGCAACCATGCACGAGCCACCAGACATACCAAAGTTCACTACGAGATCGAATCAACTAGGAGAACCCAAATTTATTATTATTAAAAGCAAAAATGAAACCTCACTTAAAACACTTTCACCTTTCATCATCGAAAAATCCGTGGATTTTGCCTGCGGAGGAAGAGTTGATTCCGTGAAAAAACTTAGGGACGGCGGACTTTTGATAAAAACAAAAAACAACTTACAAGCCACAAAACTTCTAAAACTTACCAAAATCGGAGACATTGATATAACAGCAACCGAACACAAGACACTAAATTTTTCAAAAGGCGTTATCTACTGTAATGACCTTAGATATATAGACGAAGAAACAATTCTCCGAGAATTAAAACCGCAGAAGGTAATTGAAGTCCGAAAAATTATGAAGAGACAAAACACCAACAACAACAACAACCATAACAACACCAACAACAACAGCAACACCAACAATCACAGCAGCACCAACAACAACAACAACCCTCTAACAGAAACCGGACTCATAATAATTACATTTGAAACTCATCAACTCCCTGAATTACTGCGAATCGGCTACGAAACTGTCCGCGTACGCAACTACATCCCTCTCCCAATGCGTTGCAGAAAGTGCCTCCGTTACGGACACCCAGCACCTATATGCAAGAGCACAGAGAAATGCTTAAATTGCTCAGAGGAAAAACACACCAACGAAGGAGAACTCTGCAAAAACGACAAAAAATGTCTTAACTGTGTCAACAATCCCGAACTTGACTCTCAGCACAGCCCTTTGGACCGCAAATGCCCCACATTCCTGAAACAACAAGAGCTTACTGCCATTAAGACCACCGAAAAAGTCGACCATAAAACTGCTCTGGGTATATACTTTGAGCGACACGGATACAAAACAAGAAACTCTTATGCAAATGTACTCACAAACACCACAACCACAATAAACACCCGATCTCCAAATACTCAGACATCAACAGCTTCAAATGCACAAACTACACCCACATCCTGCGATCACAACGAACCAAACAGAGCCACAACATCAACCGCACCAATCAAAAGAACACTGGCACCGAAAGAAACCCTGCTAACCCACAACCAACACGACCAAGACGACATCGAAGCTATGGAAACGGACAACCCCAACCCCACCAGAATAACGACACAATACGGATCACAACTCACACAGGACCTTAAACTAAAAATTTTCCCTAAAGATAAGTCAAACACTCTCTCCACTAACTTTAAACCAGAAAAAAAAAAGGCTAAATCTTCCAACAAAAACAAACGCACCAATACCAGCGACAGCGAATCGGTTTAAAAGCCACAGATCTCCTATACTCTAAGGTTCAACCTCAGATCTCTTTCCACCCCAAAAATGTCACTAATTTTAATTCAATGGAACATTCAAGGATACACAAATAATTATAATAACCTCCTAATCCTGATTAAAAAATACTCCCCACATATCATTGCATTACAAGAAACACATATACAATACACTAACAATATACCAACTCCAATTAACTACATACTACTAACAAACACAGCCACCAACAGATTTGGCGGCGTATCGCTATTAGTACACAAGTCAATTCAATATTCCATAGTTAACATTCCAAACGACCTTGAAGCTCTAGCAATACATATAAAATCAATGAAAAACATGCACATAAAGACAGCATACATTGCCCCAAACAAAACCGTCACAAACCAAATGCTTGAAGACATTTTGCACAACAATCAAACACCCTCACTAGTTGTAGGAGACTTTAATGGGTGGCACCCCGCCTGGGGTTCCCCGAAAACAAATTCTCGAGGAAAAACAATACAAAAATTCATTGACAACACACAGCTAATCTTACTAAATGACAAATCCCCCACACACTTTTCAACGCACAATACATACACACATATCGACCTTTCACTTTGCTCAGCAACACTAGCCCCACACGCCAAGTGGGAAATACTTGATGATCTCCACGGGAGCGACCATTTTCCAATAGTCGTCTCCCTATTCCCTCCAAACAAATTAAACAAATTTTCAAAACCCTTTTTCAAATTAAAAAAAGCCAACTGGCTTCAATATGAGACTCTCACACACAAAAATAACGACACATTCCCCACTTCAACTAATGTCAATAAAGAAGCCGCACAAATTAACAAAATCATTTTACATAGCGCCAACATTTCAATCCCACAAACCTCAGCAAATACAAAACCCTATAAGGTCCCCTGGTGGAACAAAGAACTAGCCCAACTAAAAAAAGAAAAACAATTAGCTTGGAAAGCACTTAACCGCAACATAAATTTCACAAATGTTATAAACTACAGGCGCTTAAATGCTAAATACAGATTCGAAATAAAAAGAAGTAAAAGCGAAGCTTCCAGCTCCTTTACATCCACCATACATCCAGAAACCCCCTCATCTAAAATATGGAGCAACATAAGACGCTTCTGCGGTCTTAACCCAATGAAACAAATTCACGCCATACTCAATCCAAAAAACAACACAGCAACAACAGATACCCTCGAAATAGCCAATTCCTTCTCCCAACACTTCTCAGAACTGTCAAATGATTCAACCTTCTCAGACGAATTCCGAAATAACAAATATAAAATTACAACAGCCAATTACAGACCCACCTCAACAGCCCAAACTATCGAGGAAAATATAACCTACCTTGAACTGATTGCAGCACTACAAACTCTTAAAGGATCCACCCCAGGATTAAATAGAATCTCTTACGAAATGATTAGTAAAAGCTCACATACCACAAAAAACAGAATAAAAAACCTTTTCAACCAAATTTTCGACAGCCACATACCTCAAGCCTACAAAATAAGTTTAGTTATACCGATCCTCAAGCCAAAGTCCGACAAAACAAACATCTCTTCATACAGACCCATTTCCCTCAACTGCTGTCTAGCAAAAACACTAGACAAAATAATAGCAAAAAGACTATGGTGGTTCGTGACCCACAATAAACTACTTAATGAAAACCAATTCGGCTTTAAAAAAGGCAAATCGACTTCGGATAGTCTACTATACGTAGACCATCTTATAACGAAGTCAAAAATGCACACCTCCCTCGTCACTCTTGACTTTTCAAGAGCTTTTGATCGAGTAGGTGTGCACACCATAATCGATCAACTCCAGGAATGGAAAACAGGCCCAAAAATAATAAACTACGTCAAAAACTTCATGCTCAAAAGGAAAATAATTGTCAGAGTAGGCCCGCACATCTCCAATTCACTTCCATTATCCAATGGTATCCCACAAGGATCACCTATATCAGTTATCCTATTTCTCATTGCATACAACAAGCTCTCAAACATAATATCTATACACAAAGAAATTAAATTTAACGCATACGCTGATGATTTCTTCCTCATCATAAATTTCAACAAAAACAAAAGCCTTAATTTCAATATGGACAACGTATTACATAATATAAACAGTTGGTGCTCATACTCAGGAGCATCCCTATCCTTAGCTAAATGCAAACACCTCCATATTTGTCGAAAACACAATTGTACTAGCACCATAAGCTGTAGCAATACACAAATACAACAAGTATCTGCACTCAAAATCTTAGGGATAACCATAAACACTAAATACAAATGGGACACACACATAAAATCACTACTTCCATCTCTACACCAAAAGCTAAATATAATTAAATGCCTCTCCAACCAAAAATTCAACTGCAATACACAAACACTACTTCACGTTGCGAAAGCAACAATAATAGCAAAAATTGAGTACGGCTTGTTCCTATACGGACACGCTCCCAAAAGTGTATTAAACAAAATAAAAACACCGTTTAACACTGCAATTCGGCTAGCCCTTGGCGCCTTCCGAACCACGCCCATTAATAACTTGCTATACGAAGCCAACATCCTGCCATTAGAGCAAAAACGAGACCTCCAAACAGCAAAACTCACGAAAAACCTAATATTTTCAAAAGATACCCCAATACACAAACTCGTCAAACAAAGAAAATCAAAAAAAAACCCATCAACCATAGACCGCACAATAAATCTTTGCCAAGCACTTAATCTACCCTACGAACCAGTAAAACTACACAAATGCAAGCCACCTTGGGATCTCCCAAATCTCATAGATACAACATTCAGAACACACAAGAAACAAACTACACCACCAGATACTTACAGAAAACTATACCAACATACCAAAGACAACCATAAAACACACAAATTCATATTTACAGACGGATCAAAAATAAACTCCACTATATCATATGCAGTCACAACAGATACCAATATTGTTAAATATGGTATCCTACCCCCATACTCATCAGTTCTTTCCGCTGAAATAATAGCCATCCTAGTAGCGATCGACCAAGTCAAAAGCACAAGGGGGAAGTTCATGATCTGCTCTGACTCTCTCTCAGCAATTGACGCCATAAAAAACACTAACAACAACAACTTTTACTCAAACAAAATCAGATCACTTATAACAAAACTAGCCCCGAAAATCAAAATATTGTGGATCCCTGGTCATGTAGGCATAGCAGGCAACGAGCTAGCCGACCACACCGCAAAATCAACAAGCAACATGCCCCTTATTTACACCCCAAACATTAACTTAACAGACATTAACAGACACTTAAAACTAGAATTTCTCACAAGAAATAAACTTAGCTTAGAGCACTGTAATCAATGGTACAAAACCATAAACAAAAACAATTCAAACATCGACAACTACTACAGATCCTTCCATCCCAAATCAAGCAGACTAGATCAAACTAAAATAATACGCCTTAGACTAGGCCACACAAAACTTACACACGAGCACTACTTCAACCAAAACCAACCTCAACCCTGCCCTTTTTGCCAAGGCGACAATACCATATCCCACCTTTTAAACTCCTGCCCATCACTCCTCCCCACCAAACTATCCATTTTCAAAAACACAGACCCAACAAATCTCCTCAGCGAACTCAACCCAGATAATCTAGAAAAAATCTTAATTTTCTTAAGATCTTCCAATCTTTACCACAAAATATAAAAACATACCCAAAATGTATATAAATAAAAATTACCAACTAAGTAGCCAAACTACAATGTCAAATATGTAATTAAAACAATATATATAATATCATGAATCTTAAAAGCCGAAGGCCCTGTTGCCAGCGCTTTACCAACTAAGTTAGTTTAGTTTTGTAAACTTCTCTATCTTTAATAATAAATAAATAAATAAATGCTACAATATTTGCTATATCTCATAAATTTTCTTTATTCTGTAATCCACTTCCACAACCTAGTAATGAAAGGTTCTTCAGGATTTTTTTCACAAATATAAAAGTTTTTGTCCATACAATTAGCGTTATTCATGTCGTGCGCGTAGCCAGCAAGCATTTCCACACAATCTTCTTCTCTAGCGAGTGAATTGGCTCCTCCGAATTTCCACTGCAAATAAGGAGCTGGGAGGCCAGAAGTCTGGGAAAGATACGTCCCTTCACTGACATGATCAGTGATGTCAATCCAGTAACTGCGACTATGTTCTTTATATATATCATCATTGTATTGAAGAAATAGGAATTCGGTTTCGTTTTGGGGACTCGCCAAATGGGCGTCGAGTTGTTTACAGTAATTCACAGCCTCCGGCCAGGTTTTCTTTTTTTCCTCATCCGTTTCAATATAGTAAGACTTCGAGCCGATTATCTTGAACGTCTTTTCTTCCCTTTCAGGAGGTGCGTCCTGTTGGAGCATCTTGATTACAAGGTTCTCGTATACTCGATCTTCCAATCTCTCTAGTCTTCTTTCAAAGTTTTTAAATACTGGATTGTCCTGTGATAAGAACGGAATTGCTTACAAATCTTTTGGTATCATTAATCAGTAAACTTACCTCTTTTTCTGCGAGAGTATTTTGGCAGAGTATCCACAAAACGAGGACGCCAAGGAAGTATTTCATTTTGTGCGAAAATCAGACCTTATCTTTCACTGTTGATAGAAACGACTGTAATTATTTGTTTCAAAAGAGAGCTTTTATAGGCTGAGGTTTGGTGAAATGAGCTGATAGTGCCTAGCCGTGGGGACCTTTTTGCTCTGCATAAACAAAAACAAAAACTAACAAATTAAATAAAAGTGAGATTAGTATAAATATGATTCATAAGATCACTTTAATTGTTTTTTGTTTGTCTCTTTGAATTGCTTGTCTAGCGCTTTTATAATCTTTTAAGAATAAATTGAATCAGTAATAGTTGACACTCTTAAAAAAATAAAATAAGCAACCCACTAGCGCTTTACAGATTAGAAATAAACATGTATTTATTTGTTTAATTAATATTTAATTCAATTCACAAACGTACAACACTTCATCCATACAATTCGTGTCATTCATTTTAGGATGAATACGGTTATCCAGCTCGACACAATCTTTGTCTAAAGGGCTTGAGCTGGGTTCTTTATAGCCCCAATTGAGGACAGGAGCTGCCAGGGCGGAAAGTAACGTCCCTTCAGTAAGCTGATCAGTAATGTCAATCCAGTAGCCTTGGCCCAACTCTAGGTTGTTCCTTAGAGCAAACCATTCGACAATGTTTTCAAGACTGGCTAAGTGGGCATTCAGTTGTTTGCAGTAACTCAAAGCGGCGCCCCAACTTTTCTTTTTTTCTTCATCCTTTTCAATAAAGTAATACTTTTGGCCGATTCTCTGGAACATTTTTTTCCTAGATTGTTCAATTTCCAAATCTGATTCACCAAATCCAGATCCAAATTCCGGTTCTGATTCACCAAAGCCAGATCCAGTTTCCGAAAACTTTTTGTTGATTGGTTTTTTAACTAACAGAAATTCTTGCTGCTCGAGGTCTTCGCTCTTTTTCTTCGCCTTCTCCACAAAAGTATTGACATTTTTAGATAAAGCCTTCCTTTGCCTTTCCTCTAGCTGTCTTTTAATAACAGAAAACTTCTTTGACAGATCCTCATGTTTCGAGGAGAGTTTCTTCAGGTGCTCTTCCAACTTCTTCTCCCAGCTCTTCTCCAGTTTTTCGAGTCTCTCAATAAAATTTATACCTTCGGCGGGCTTTTTCTCATGTGAAATTGTATAGAGATTTCGTTCCAGGGGGCTTCTTTCCAGCGTTTCTTCTCCGTTTTGAATTCCAAGATGCGTTTCTAGTTTGAGCATCCTGTGCTCCAGGTTTTCCCTTTCCGAGAATTGCCGAGCTTCCAATCGCACCAGTCTCCGTTCAAAGTCATCTAAGACTGGATTGTCCTGTGTTAAGTTATGGATTATTTATAAATCGATTGGAATTATTGATCAAGTAAACTTACCAGGCCTCTTGCCAGAGTATTTTGGCAGAGTGTCCCCAGAACCAAGACACCAATAAAGAAATTCATGTTGTGCGAAAATCAGACCTTAAGTTTGCTCTTGATAAAGACGACTGCTAATCTCTCATTTGCTAGAGCAGCTTTTATAGGAAGAATGGATGAGATGTGTTGGAACACACTGATAATCCGTGCGTGTGGGGACCTTTTGACCCTAAGTGGAATTAGAAAAACGCGCTGTTCCTATAAATTCCAAAAAAAATTTGGGAATTTTAACATCTTTGTTTTGTATGTCTTTTTGCAAATTTCACCAATTACTTGTTTGTTATGGTGGTTAAATAGGGATTGTGGTTTTCAATATAAGTATACATATTTTAGGTTGAAAGTTATTTTCTTTAAAAGTATTTAAATAAAGGATTCGAAAAAAAAAACCCTGAATAATATTATACTTAAAAATGAGCAACTTAATGACTTTTAACAATTTATTTTTAAAAATTTTCTGATAAGTAAATGAATATTTGTTGAACGAATGGTTTTCATATATTTTAAATTATTTTAAAAATTATAAATTTATTTTATTCATTAATAAATTCGCAAATGTTAATTTTGTGATTATGGTGAGCTTTTAGCTCCACGCAATCTTCTGGTCCACCAGCTCAGTTCAATCAATAGCTGAAAACCTCTCAGATTGAGAGTATGAAATGATTTAATCATAACCTATATTTGCTGTTCATAGTGACGACCGTATTTCTCTCTTTCCGGAAACAGTTTTCAAAGGCAGAGTGGCTGGGAATGAGCTGATAGTGCTTGGCTGGGGAGACCTTTTCACCTGCAAAGCGTCACAAACAAAAAATAATACTAATAAAATTAGTATGAATATGACTCACAAGATGTTGAATATAATTTTGTTTGTTTGTACTTTTGAATAGTTTGTCTAGCGCTTTTATAATCATTTAAATTTTAAATTGAGTCAGTAATAGTTGACACAATTCAAAAGATAAGAACCATTTTCCATACAAAGGTTAAAGAAACATTAAAAAAAAACCCACAAGCGCAATAAAAATTCGAAATAAAAATGTAGACCATTTATTTATAAAAAAAAGGCGTACTAGATTCAAGGACGGGATATGACAAATACCAAGAAATACGTTTAGAATGAGTACATATGTAGTGGAGAGTCCATATTTTATAATCAAATATCGAGGAATTTGATTTTGTTTCCTGATAGAAACTTGTATATCGCTACATCAAATAATTGCCTTAAGTTCATCAGCAAAAACGAAATGTAAAAAAAAAAAATGGCTTCCATAATAATAAAAATAACAAAGTCAATTTATTTATTTGAAATTTAAAAAATTTTGAATCTATTTTCTAATATTTTTACACTTTTAATAATTGCTCTTGGTTGAACCTTAATGAAAACGTAGGGCTTAGTATTTATCAAAGTTTGAAGTTTAAGTATATTATATTTGAAGTTTAAGTATTATATCATTGGATTCGCAAATGTAATATTTTCGATCACTGCAAGCCTCGAAATCCATTCCGAAATCGTAATAATCCGTCGTGAACTCCACACAATTTTTTTCTCCAGTAGCTAACTTTGGTTCGTTATCGTCATAGTTGATGGAGAATTCGGGAATGGTCTGGATGTCAGCCCAATAGCTGTGGTCTGGATTCAGGGCTTCCTTCAAATCGCTCCATTCCTCTTTGTTTTGGATACTTACCAGGTGTCCGTTCATTTCCTTACATTTTTGCGCAGCGTCAGACCAGGTTTGTGTTTCCTTATTTTCAATGAAGTAGTGCTTTTTACCAATTTTCTGGTATTTATTCTCATCAGAGTTGTCACTTTCAGATTGGTCACTTTCAGGGTTCTTAAGAGTTGTGCTTAGCCCTTCCATAATCCGATCAAGAGCAGATTTTTGTGCTCTTCTACATGTTTCTCAATAGCTAAGAACCTTTCAGCTAGATTCTCATATTTCGAGGAGAATTCCGTCAACTGCTTCTCTAGCTCCTTCTCCCAGTTCTTCTCTAATTTCTCCAGTCTTTGAAGAAAAGTAATACCCTCGGCGGGCTTTTCCGTTTTTAAAGTTTCATTGAAATTTCTTTTCAACGGGTTCCCTTCCAATGTTTCTCCTTCATGATGAGTTTCCAAATGTATTTCCAATTGGAGCATCCTGTGCTCAATGTCTTGGCTTTCGGATAATTGTCGAGTTTCCAATCTTACAAGCCTCCGTTCAAAGTCACTTAAGACTGAATTTTCCTGTGATAAGAACTGGATTATTTATAAACCGATTGGAATTATTAATGAACTAAACTCACAAGTCCTCTGGCGAGGATATTTTGGCAGAAGATCCCGAAAATGAAGAGGACTAGAAAGTATTTCATTTTGTGCGAAAATACAACCTTTTATTTGCGGTTGATAGTGACGACTGTAGTTCTCTACTTTTGATAGAAGCTTTTATAGGCAGAGCGGCTGAGGTTTGGTGAACCTTTTGACTCTGTAAAGTGTCAATAAAACTATTATGAATATGACTGACAAGAAGCTCAATATAATTGTTTTTGGTTGTTTGCGTTTCAAATCCGAAAAAAATATATTCAACATTTATTTATAACAGAAGGCATTAAGCTCAGAATCTGACAAAAACCAAGAAATATATTATATATAATCAACTCTTGCTTATTTTTGATTAGTTTTTAATCAAATATTAAAGAATTTGTTTATGTTTCCTAACATAAATTTCGCCCGTCTATTTATATATTTAAAACTTATAAAAATGTTTATTTAAGAATTGTATTTAAATGCTTTTTCATTTTTATACACTTGCAGAATATTATAATTTTAGTCAGAAGTTTGCTATCTGAACAATCAAGAGAATATAATAAATGGCTTTTGTTCAGCATATAATATATAAATTAAGAAACATAGTTATTTTTTATCAAAACCAAATTTGTATATGCTATGTTATGTAAATATATATCTTTATATATCTCCTGTTACTTTTTCTTTTAATTTTATCGAAATGAATCGAATACCAATGATTAAATTGCAAACTGCAAGGGAATACAAACTTTGGTGTGCTGAACTTAGCTTCCTTTCTTGTTTTCTATTAATTCCGGATCATTCCCACGGCAGGTATAAGATATAGTCGTTCGATTCGGCCCTTTCCGACTTATCTACTAGTAAGAATAGTAACCTATAGCTTCAAAACTGAGAGACTAGTTTGCGTAGAAACGGACAGATGGACATGTCTAGATCGACTTATAGGGTCGGAACATAAACAAATTAATTAATATTTGATTAAATTCCTATCAAAAATAAGCACGAGTCTATTATATACTGAAATTAAACGTATTTCTTGGCTTTTGTCAGATTCTGAACTTAATGCCTTCTGTTATAAATAAATGTTGAATATATTTTTTCGGATTTGAAACGCAAACAACCAAAAACAATTATATTGAGCTTCTTGTCAGTCATATTCATAATAGTTTTATTGACACTTTACAGAGTCAAAAGGTCCCCAAAGCTAGGCAGTCATTTCACCAAACCTCAGCCGCTCTGCCTATAAAAGTCTCTTCCAGAAGGAAAGAACTACAGTCGTCACAATCAACCGCAAATAAAAGGTTGTATATTCGCACAAAATGAAATATTTTCTGGTCCTCTTCATTTTCGGGATCTTCTGCCAAAATATCCTTGCCAGAGGGCTTGTGAGTATACTTCATTAATAATTCCAATCGGTTTATAAAAAGTCCAGTTCTTATCACAGGACGATGCAGTCTTAAGTGACTTTGAGCGAAGGCTAGTGAGATTGGAAACTCGACAATTATACGAAAGCCAAGACATTGAGCACAGGATGCTCCAATTGGAAATACATTTGGAAACTCATCAAAAAGGAGAAACATTGGAAGAGAACCCGTTGAAAAGAAAATTCAATGAAACTTTAAAAGTGGAAAAACCCGCCGAGGGTATCACTCTTCTTCAAAGACTGGAGAAATTAGAGAAGAACTGGGAGAAGGAGCTAGAGAAGCAGTTGGCGGAATTCTCCTCGAAATATGAGAATCTAGCTGAAAGGTTCTCAGCTATTGAGAAACATGTAGAGGAGCACATTTCCGGCTCTAAAAATGACAACTCGAAAGAGAATCAATTTCAGAAGATTGGTACAAACCACTACTTTATTGAAAGATATGAAAACAAAACCTGGTATGAAGCTGTGCAAAAATGTAACGAAATGAACGCACATCTGTTAATGCTCCGAGGCGAGGAATGGAGCGATTTGAAGGAAGCCCTGAATCCAGACCATACCTATTGGACTGATGTTCGGGCGATGCCCAAAATCTCCAACAACTTTGACGATAACAAACCAAATTCAGCTTACGGAGCAGAAAGTTGCCTGATGTTCACAAAGTATGAAACGGAACTTGTGGCTTGCAATGATCGAAAATATTACATTTGCGAATCCAATGACTATTAGTTTAGCAACATTTTTAAATATAAATAAATTCTTTGTGAATTTTCTAAAAAAATATACTAAAAATTCCAATTTTGATAAATTCTAAGCCCTACTTTTTTATAAAGGTTCAACCAAGAGCAATTATTAAAAGTGTATAAATATTATACAATAAATTCAACATTTTTATAAATTTCAAATAAATAGTTTGGGCTATTTCTATTATTATAAAACCCTTTTTTTAATTCCAGCTGATAACACTAAAGGCAATCTTTTGATTCTTATTCAAATTGTAGCCATTTTTTGTATACCCTTGCAGGGTATTATAATTTCAGTCAGAAGTTTGCAACGCAGTGAAGGGCCGACCCTATAAAGTATGTATATTCTTGATCAGTCCCTCAGTTTATAAGCTATCTGAATAAAACTTTGTCTTCTAAATACTCTCACTGCTATATATGTCGGAATGGGTCGGATCGGACGACTATATGATATAGCTGCCATACAAATGATCGACAAATTTCTAGAGAAAAATTATAACTTGGCTGTTTTTTAAATTAAACTTTAAACTTTAAACTTTTAAATTCAAACTTTAAACATAATAAGTATAGGTAAAATGTAATGGAACTCTGTGTTGTGTGTGTTTTCAGCATTTAAATTTAAAATATAAATATCAAAACCAAATTATTATATACTATGTTTAAATATTCAACTTTTAAATATTTCCTTTTATTTTTTTCTATTCATTTAACTAGAATGGCTGGATTCTTAACGATCCAATTGCAAACTGCAGGGAATACAAACTTCTGCATCTTGAAGTTAGCTTCCTTTCTTGTTTTTGATTTATTTTTAATCAAATATAGAGGAATTTGTTTTTGTTTTTTTCATAGATTAGAACTAGACTAGAGAGAATTTCCTTGAGAATTATCGGCAACAATAAAAAGTAAAAACAAAATAGTGGTTTATAGTAAAAGCAATAAAAAAGTCATATACATTTATACGAAATGTTTATTCAAGAATTTATTTTCTCAAAATATGTATAAGCAAATATGTATTTCTAGAAAATGTTTACATAATTTGTATAATAATATAATAATAATTATTTATGTACGAGTGGCTTTAATCTTCGTCATTGGGTTGACAAATGTAATGTTTCAGTTCACCGCAATTCACGTCGTTCATTTTGTAATCACGGTTAGCCCTCAACTCCACGCAGTCTTCCGCACCAGGAAGGGAATTCGGTTCGTCATCATCCCACATAAGGAAAGGAGCTATTTTGCCGGAGGTCCTGGATATGAATTTGTCCTCTTCCATAATGTCGTTGACGTCAGTCCAATAGCTGTTCTCCGAATTCAGGGCTTCTTTCAAAGCGCTCCATTCCTCTTCGTCTTGGAGACTTAGCAAGTGTGCGTTCATATTTCGACATTTCGTCACAGCGTCAGACCAGGTTTGTTTTTCATCATTTATAACATAGTAGTACTTTTTACCATTTTTCAGGTATGTATTCACTCCAGAGTTTTCACTTTCAGGTTGGTCACTTTCAGATTGGTCACTTTCAGGGTCATTAGGAGGTGTGCTTATCCTTTCCACAATCGGATAAAGAGCAGCAATTTTCTGCTCCTCTACATGTTTCTCAATAGCTGAGAACCTTTCAGCTAGATTCTCATATTTCGAGGAGAATTCCGCGAGGTGCTTCTCTAGCTCCTTCTCCCAGTTCTTCTCTAATTTCTCCAGTCTTTGAAGGAATGAAATACCCTCGACTGGCTTCTCTACATTGGAAATTGCATAGAAATTTTTTTCCAATGGGCTTCTTTCCAGTGTTTCTTCTCCTTGCTGTGTTCCCAGATGTGTTTCTAATTTAAGCATCCTGTGCTCAAGGTTTTCGCTTTCGGAGAATTGCCGAGTTTCCAATCTCACAAGTCTCCGTTCAAAGTCACCTAAGACTGCATTGTCCTGTAATAACAACTGGATTATTTATAAATCGATTGGAATTATTAATGAAGTAAACTCACAAGTCCTCTGGCGAGGATATTTTGGCAGAGGATCCCGAAAAGGAAGAGGACTAGAAAATATTTCATTTTGCGAGATACTCAAGACTTTCAGGCTGTGTTTAAAGACTATTGCAAATCTCAGATTCCTAGACCTTTTATAGGCAGAGTGTTCAAGCTTAGGAGATATTGCTGGTAACGAAAAGCTGAGAGGGGACTTTTCGACTATATAAAATATACAAACGCGCAATTGATGATAAGATTCGAACGATTTCTAATATACTTTGTTCTTACTATTGCTTAATTCCTCAAAATTTCACTGAAATTTGTTGATAACAAATTGTTTTGCATTTCAATTTGAATAAACACACATTATTCTTGGTATTTTAACAACTGCTGACTGCTGTATTTTAATGGAAATATATTTATTTATTTGTCTACTTCGGAGAGCACACTCTGGATCTCCCTTAAAACTTCCGAGTCTAAAAGATTAGCTTGGGATTGAAGTGTTAGCATTTTAATTTGTAATTTCCTAATGGCGAAATGAGTTTCGCACCTTTTTAAAATGCACTGCTCTGCGTATTGTTGGGTTTTAATTTAAATTACCTGTTAGACTAATGCAACGTCTCAGCTGCAACAATAATAACGAGACTCTCAACTCATTATGCATTGTTTATTGCCACTCAAAGTGGCTCTCTCTCCAGAATTTTCTGAGCAACGCTCTTAATGCACACACAACAATGGGAAAACTCCACTTCCCTCCTAATCGGTCCCAGGCCCCTTGGCAACAGTTGCACCTGTAACTCCGGCACTCAAAATGGCGCTCAAAATTAAAATGTATTAAAAAGAATATAAGAGGTTTTTAATTATCAGAGTTATTATTAATTTGTATATAATACTTTTGGTATTATTAATATTTTATTTGTATAAATCTTTAGATTTTTTCGACTGTAAGCTTGAATATTTCCTAAGAAACCAATCTAAACTCAGTACAATCCGACAGTTTGTTTAAATATTTAACAAACTCTTCGATTTCCCCTGAATATAGGGATCCTTTTCATACAATTTCCCCCACTGCGCCAGCACACTCTCAGGTGCTCTGTATGGCAAGTCAAGTCTGGCACTTCATTATGCACATTAAGATACAAATTCTTTGGAGCGAGCGAGGCGGTATCTAACTTAATTTAACCAACTAGGGACCCGCGGGGTATCCGTTCACTGCGTGTGTATGTGTGTGTGTGTGTGTGCTGCTAATGGCCTTAATAAAAAATGCAACATTTTGATTTAATTTAATTGAAATTCACGCCACTCGAGCAACTCCATTAGGCAGAAACGTGTCCAACGTCAAGGATGCAGATGATGGCAGCGCCAAGGAAATCAAATTACCCAGCGGCAACAGTGCCTCAAATGTGGGCGGAGAATGTTGTGAGGTGGGTGAGGGGGCGTGGCAGTGTGTAGCAGTTGTAGCAGCTCAAATAAATATTGTCAAAACACTTGTCAAATGGCTAAACAAAGGAGCTTGGGACACGGTCAGGGCAGTGGGCACATCCCCTTTGGCCAAGTTTGCCATACAGAAGGCGTGCCAATTGATAATACACTGAAGAAAATTTTAGTATATTAGGATTCCAAATATCTAGTATTTTAAGATTCCAAGATTTCCATATTCTGGGATAAAATGTTTATAAAATTATACATTTAAAAGTATAAATCAAGAATTTTCATTTTTTATACATGCATAAAAATATTTACATTTATTTTATAATATGATATGGTTAAAAAATGTTTCAAAACTTATGAAATGAAAAGTTTTTTTACTATGTAAATTTTTAGTATGTTAAAAAACCCTCATTTTAAGTGTAAAATTTCAAATTGATTGATTTCTTTTATTTTTTTGCAGTGCAGCAGGCTCTCAAAGTGAACTGAAACCGAAAACTGAAACTGGAACTGTAAGCAAATCAATTTGATTCGATTTAAATTTAAAAGCATCTGTACACGAGCATTCGTCACCTCCCCCATCTCGAGACACACTCGCCCAGCCCGGGCCACTCCACTTGCGCTCCTCACTGCCCGCTGGGCGATCTTGAGCGTGATTTTCTTGTCGGGTCACGTGCCGCAGACGCGTGCCGCTGACATAAGTTTTCAGTTCTAGATTCGCAGCTCTTCAGGCCTCAAGAACGACGGGGACTTAGAGCCGGCCGGGTGGCATGTCCGCAGGGGGAACAGGGGTCGAAGTCAGCTTCTCCGGCCCGGCGACATGTCTGAATTTAGTTAGGTTATCAGTTTAATTTTATTAGTCAATCAGCTTTAATTTTTTTTTTTGCTTCTCTGTTTTCTCTCGGCTGATAAGAGCTGGGGGAAGGGTGAGAAATGGAATTTAAATTAATTACTTTTCACTGGAAATTGACAGATAGACACGGGTTTTTTTTTTGGAAATTCATTATAAATATTCATAGGAAATATTAGTAGATTACTAAATATATTTAAAAACATTTTATAAATACTTCTAGGAAAATATATTCTACCTGAGAATTGATATATATAAAGAAACTGGAATTCTACAGATTAGGTAGATTTATTCTATATTCCTTTGTTGGCCATGTACACTTCTTAACTACTTGAACTCCCAGGCATAACTTTGCCGATTTGTCCAATTTGTGATGACAGTCATACCGTGGCCAAGAACATCCTGTTCACCTGTACATCCTTGTGCAGTCTCTCACCTGTCCTGCCTCTTGAAGTTCGCCCCCAAAGTTCGCATCAAATCAGCCATAGAGGTGTCAGTGTACAAAGGACGCGCCCTGACACGCGTCTGACGTTTATTGGTGCCCTCCAGCTGCAGTGAAAACTTTTCCGCAGCAAAAACCTTTCAAGGAAAAGCCACATGTGGAAATTGTAGACGACAAGCAGACACAACACACGCACACACAAGCCACATACAAATACACAAAGTCTAAGAAGGCCGAACCAGAGAAAAGCACAGATTATGGAAATACTCTTTAAATTAATGAAAGAATTACTAACGAAAGTAATTTTTATGTAAAGAATCAATTAATTAGTTAATTAATGAAGTTCTTTTGTGAAAAGTAGGAATAATTTATTGAAATAATGATTTTATAATGTATTAAATGTTGAAGATAGTTCTAGATAAACTTTTTTAAAACTATAAACGTCGAGCAGTTCAAGTCCTTGGGCTATGGATTGGGTACAAATTTTTTAATAATATATTCCATACAAATAGTTTGTATTTATTTCTTGTAAACTGTTAAATATACCCCTTTAAAAGGGCATTGAGAGCCCAGCAATTGAAACTTTCCCTAGGAGAAGGAAGGAGAGTGGGGTCGCGATTTGTATTTTTGTGTAAATATTTTCATGTCAATATTGCAGAAGTAAACATGGGTTAAGGGCAGCAAGTTGGGGGAGATCTTTTTAAGTGCTGCCCTTTAGGCAGCTGGCAAGTGGGTTTAAAATTTCCCATGTCCATTCTCCGGCTTTCCCTTCCATTGGCGTCAACTTGTCCCAACATTTTGGCTCTTTTCGGGTCTTGTCTCTCCAAATATTTGAAGTGTTTCGAATTTCTACAAAAAATTAGAGAGAGAGAGAGAAAAAAAGGAAAGAGAAAATTAAAACAAAATTTTGTTTTATTTTCTTTAAAGTGTTTTTTTAGTAGGCATCGCATCCCTCCTCCAATCAAAAACTACCCCCTCTGGCTTCGGCAAACGAATCTCCTTTTGGGCCACCAAGTGTTGCCAACTCACTCAATGATTTCTGGTTTGCTGCAATTTTCATTTTCTACTTTTGCCCCGTGGAGGGTTTCTGTTTCAAGCTAGGGCGCTGGTTGCTGGGCGGTGGGTGGCAAGGACTCAGGGGCGTGGCACTCTCGAGTGCGTGCTTGAAAATACAAAAATTTCACCGCATTTCGCGTTATTAACACGTAGGTGCCAAGAACCCTCGCGGGTTCGGGTTAGAAGCTGTTCGCGACTGTGGTGCGCTTTAACCCATGAGTAGAGCAGGGTATGGGTGGTGAAGTGCACTAAAAAAAAAAAGGAATAAAATATTTATAAAATATTTAAAATATACTGGATATGTAAGAATTATAACTAAAACTTGGGCATCTATTAATTTCTCAGCCAAGTCTTGTAACTTTAAAAAATCTTTAAAATTATAATATCCAAAGTCTTAAAAATATCTTTCAGTGTGGTCGGACCGCTGACACTGTGTAATAAGGAGTTTTCATGGCCTCTTGAACGCTCACGCTTACCAACCGAGAACATTTTAATTGAGAGTGTTGCGAGGAAGGACGATGACGACGACGACGCTGCTGCTGTTGCTGCTGATGTCGATGATGATGGTGGCGACGCGGTACTTGGCCAGCTGCCGCTCCTTCTTAGCTGCGTTCCGCTTCTCTGGAGCGCCTCAAGTGCGGTCCGCCGTCCTCGCCACTCGCCGACATTCTTCCACCATCTTCTCCAGCGCGGCATTCTGCTCAGGTGTTGATGGATAAAAATTCTAAGGGTACCGAACGAGTGGCGGACCCTTGGACGAAAACCAAGCGGGCTTTCAGAGTTAGCCAGGAATAACATCTTGGAAGTTAACCACAATTTACGGAAGTTAACCAAAGTTGAATGGAGTAAACATTTAAACATTTAAATGGAATTTGAAATGCCTAAAAAGGATTAAGAATATTTATGTGAGATTTTTTTTAGAGGAGTTATTAAGAAAAGGGGAGTTAAAATCTTTAATAAACTAAAAAAAAACGTAAGAATTTACAAATACATTTTTAAATAGTTTTCTTTAAAGAAAAAAGTTTGCATAGCAAATAACTTCAAATGATCTTTTGATTACTCAGTTTAGTAACTAAAATATCTGTAAATAGATTATTTAATAAATTTTTTTACAATTTAATTATACTTACCGTTGCATCCACTAGAAATTATGTACAAATATATACCTAAATGGTGTGATAATGCAATAACTGTAACAACAACAACACCTAGAGAATATTTTTTTTTAGTAATTTCCATTTTGGGACCAGAGGGGAAGAACTCATTAATTTGCTCCCAAGGGGAAGTGTGGACGGTAGCAGGGGAAGGCGGCAATTGCCAAAAATATTAACAGGCAAAACAGAAGC